ATTCAAGATTAGATTTGTAATACTGACATTACATTTATTAATAACAATGAAAATTACAATACTTATTAATATCAAAATGTGGTAGTAATTAGACAATTAATTGTATTATCTAGCTATGTCGGTGTTTCTTCTGAATCAAACTGTAAACCAAATATATCGTATAAATTTCGTTGAACCAAACTAAAATCTAATAAATGAAGGGGGTGATTAATTATCTTTACCATAACACACGAATATAACAGAAAAGATGTTAAGACATTTGACAAAATCCGACGAGAATAACAAATATAACATCAAAATTAAATACATGAATTTGGGATAGAAAAGTACCGTGACCAGTCTTATAGCAATGCGGTTTCACACTCAGCAAAACAGTCACAATCGGGAATAAGTCACGCTCGGTAATTAAACGATCAGACGACGTAATGACAAACCACAATCTAACACGTGGTAAAAATGTCCTTGGTTAGTTTGGACAAAGACACATCGTATCTATCAACCAATTCGTGATGGTGTCCGTAAAATTTACGGAGTGTCATTTTTAATCTGTCCTCCTCATAACTTTGTTGGAGCAGTTTCTGCGTAAGGAGCATACTCCTGTATATGAAGTCCGTATAGTGTGAACAAGCACGAGAATAACGTATCAATTGAGATATGTAAACACCATACGAAGGGGCAGAGGGTATCTTACTGCTGAGAAATGGGAAATTGATAATTGGGAAGTTGAAATCGTCCCGTTTATCATAGATTTTCGTGTGAAGTCGTCCATCTGTGTCAATATTGAGGAAAAGATCAAGGTATGAAGCAGTCCTTCTAGTATCAGTAGTATCCTTAATTTCAAGTTCACTGGGATATATGAGATGTAAGTATTGGCTGAAATATGGGTTATTCAATGAAAGAACATCATCAATATATCGAAAGTAAAATTAAAGAATTTCGCAAGGTGCTTTTTCTTTTTGCCTTTTAGAAGGTTCTGAATGAATTCTGATTCATACGAGTACACAAACAAATCGGCCAGTAGGGGTGCACAATTAGTTCCCATTGGAATACCGACTGTCTGTTGAAATATAAATCCTCCAAACTCAACAAATATATTGTCGATCAAAAAGTCCAGCATTTTGATAATATCATCTTCAGTATATTTTCTGGTAGATTCAGTGTGGTTTTCATAAAATATGAATTATTGTAACCCAAAACAAGAAATTTGTATCTACGATTCCCATTTTTATAGAAAAAGCTCTGTTTAATGAGATGGTGAAGTCGATCTTTCAACTGAGCATGGGGAATAGTAGTGTAAAGCGTAGAAATATCAAAAGTCTTTATGTTGCTGCAAAATTGCAAAGATTGTGATCGAAGATTAAGCAGTAGATCTTTCGAATTTTTGAGAATCCACATCTGGTTAACACCACTGGTAGAATATATCTCATCACAATATTTTTGAAGCCCATCTTTAACTGTAGAAAGAATAGTACTCAATACTTTAAAAAGATGTTTAGTCGAACATTTTGATGACCCAGCTATGTATCGTTCTTTATATGGAGTTTTGTGTAGTTTTGGTATCCAGTATAATGATGGTAAATTTTCTTCGTTTTCTTTGATGTTGATACCAAAAGAAAGAAGGACAGATTTGTGATTTTGTAAAATTTCGTCCTTGGTAAATGATGTTAAAGAATATGTAGGGTTACCAGTAGTACTATTTATTCCAAGCTCTGTTGTGAGACATTGCAAATAATGGTTTTTACATATGAAAACAATATTATTGGAGGCTTTATCTGCTGGAACAACGACATATTTGTCATGCAAAGAGGATAAAGCATACACAACATCCTGATTTTTGAAAGGGTTAGTAACTCTTGTGCTCATATTGCATCGTAGTTTTTGAATGCGCTTCTGAATGCATGATCGAATAGCTTTGATCCATTCAGACAAAGTGTCCAGTTCTGATTCGTCTGGTTCGCGCTTTACCCATTTTCTTGCATAGTCCTCAACTGCATCCATCAGTAACTTGAAATTTTTTTTCCAGTTGATGGGCTGGGGATTCTATATTTTGGTCCCTTGGCTAACAACTCTCTTAGTTGTTCATTGGTAACGATGCCAAGGTCACCAGTAATAACATGACCAACTGGACTATACTTGTGTTGTGACGATGCACATGAGCAATCCGGAGGCTTGGATTTCACATCTTTGAGGTTAAAGACCTCCAAAACTCTCTTGTGGTTGATAATCTTGGATGCAATAGACTTGGTGTAAGTATAAGAAATAACAGGTGTAGCTTTATTTTTGAAGTAATCAGGTATAGTTTTTTGTACAGATTTCTGATGGCAAATATTGCTAATATTAACAGCATATAAACCTTTATTGGCGAATTCTACCTTAAAAACATTACGTTTTTTTCCTCATTTTTGGATGTAGTCGATACGGGTTTGAATAGTCTATGGTTAGCAATGTCCATGATTATTGCAACTAATCTATACAAAACAGAACGAGAATCAGTAACGGAAGTATTTTGGGCCTCTTGAAATAGTAAAAACAGTATAAAATAATAAATCAGATAGCTACCAATCTATGGAGAATAATTCGCCTTGTAATGAAACAGATCCCTATTAATATTTTGTCACTAGGGCAAAGGTCACGGTCACAGTAGTTATTTATTATTGACTGAAATTAGCTGTAGGTAGACTGAAATTTAGGTAAATGTATGGTTCTTTATCATTTGACATCAATTATTGTCAGCAGACTTAACAGTCATCTTCATCCAAAAACAACCCTTGCCAAAAAGCTTATTTTTGCTTCAAATCTATAAAGATTGCAAACCGGCTAATGCACCCATGATTTTCACATTGTTTCGTTCCATTGATTGATTTACCTAAATGATAGCTCTGCAAAATTCCTCTCTAGTTTACTCTACAGCACTGGGTCACATTAACAAGAAAATGTAAGATTTTTACAAATCAAAACAACTGTTGGGAAGCCGGTTAAGACACATTAAGTTGAGATTTTTAACATTTTAAAAAGATGGAACCCTCTAAAAAGAAACGGCGCATATCATTAACAACACTATCAACGTCGACGATATCAAAAATAAGGAGATGTGGCATGTATGCAAATGAGACAACTAGCCGTTGAAAACAAAAGTACAAACTAAAGAAGATGACTTGGATCAAATATGTTATTATAATATACTAAGTAGTTAATACAATTAAATTGTATGTGTAATACACTCAATGACAATCGTGTTGTATCAGCCATCCGTTATGATATCGATATCAGTCACGGTCATTGATATTAGTTACGATTGCAAAGGTCTTATGAAACCCCTTATCTGTATTACGTTACGTCACGGGAAAAAACATTTCCTTAAAGTCATATGAAACGAGTTTCTTGAAATTTTACTGATATCGAAATTATTCAACCAATGCATGCATATATACTAAACTAAGTCTTGCATAGATATAAGAAGATGTGGTATAAGTGCCAATGAGACAACTCTCCATCCAAGTCAAAATTAAGAAAGCTCTCTCACAGGCACATTGCATGCACGTTTTTTTTTTTTATTTATTACACATTTATAACGTATTATCGACAAATAATATTTCATTCAGAGGTTGTTGATCGCAAGCTAATTAACTTCCGAGTTTGTTGCCGAGGTTTACCGGATCGTGATATTGATAAACAATTAAAACAGAGCACGTGGAAAGCGTGACATATACGTGAATTGAAAGAGCCATGACATTTTTTTTTTATATTTTCCATGTGTTCCCATTTGTTAATTAAAATATTCCTTAACAGTTGTTAAATGACTTGTTGTATTGAATTTGTTCTTTATGAATCTGTTATTTCTATTTATATCCAAGAGCACGTCTGTTTACATTCTTTCATCATGGTTTTCCCCTCGCACTTGCGCTGTGTGGTGGCCGAAGTTATAACGAGAGGTCTCGTAGTTAAGGTCACTGAATACGAGAAAATATCGGCGAATTAGTGTCTGGGAAGTCAATAAAATTATCGGTACATTTATTAAGATTTTGATAATATAAAGGATTTTCTTTTTTAAAAAGGTTCACGTTCACTTCTTTTAGTTTAAAACTTAGCCAAGCCATTTAAGTATATAAAACATGTTCAACTTTTTTTTTAAATTTTAAGTTTTATATGACTTTAAGGTATATGATATGGCTTTTTCAATATCTAACACCGTATCAAGTCTTAACCAAAATAATATATCGAGCAGAGGTCTTGGGATTAGATTGGTGTCTATGGTTGAAAAGAGTGTGATATTGAAAAACCCATTACACCGAACACCCAGGCTGTTATTTTTAACCATGCAAATGACTGCAAATGATTGATCAAGACTTATATTATTTTGGTAATGATAAGAATGTTTATCTTTCTTATAAAACTGAAAATCCTTCCGATAGCATTTTTGGTTTGGTTTTTTATGTACTTTGCTTAAAACAAAATTGGTGGGGGGGGGGGGGGGGGGGGGGGGGGTAGCTATCTTTTTTAATAAGTAGTATTAAATTTTCAGTTTTAGGAGATATGCTTAAGAATTTGAAATTCGATTAGATATTATGAAATAAGACATGATTTTGTCAAAACATAAAATTAAACGCATGAATATATAAAAGACTGTTAAATTAAGACAAAATTCCAATGGAAAGACATGTATCGGAAAATGCTATGGTACGACAGTTCAGCCATTAAGTAATTGAAATTTAGAATACATTTCTTTAAGTCATCAAGTGGTAAATTCTAACCAGGAAGCAAATAGAATTATTGATAAATGTGAAAACATTTTTCACATTGCTACAATACTTCAAATGACAAACATTCAAAGTTTTCATAAGAGAAATTCAACTGTTTCTTTCCTGATTATTTTAAATAGAAGGGTTTCTAAATGTAAATATTACCAAATGCAGCTTAGAATAAGTGCTTTTTTTTATCAAGTTCTATCTACTTTTTACATTGACTTTGTTTTTCAAGATAATTTTGAATAAACTACTCACCTGACAGTAGGATCACACAAATTGACGTAAACGAAACAACCTTCTGGAAAAAAATCATACTCAATTTATGAACGGTTAAATCCGATTAGACCGATACCTAAATCCAATTCGAATTTAAGAATTTCTATCATGAAGAATCTACATGAATAATAATTCACGTGATGGTGTTCTGACAAATCAGATTAATTTGCAGGATAGGAAAAAAGATACGTGATCCCTTTGAAAGCAAACCCAGGACTTTTGATTGATCTAACCAGTAAATTATGTAGGATGAGAGCTATTATAGATCAGCATGCTCAAGACTACAAAATTGGGGAAATTTTATCACATAAAATAATAATGATCCAGAATGACAAAATATCAATTAAGTTACCATTAGATTAATTGGTTTGTAAAAAGTCACTAAATAATTGATTCCATGTATATTGATAAATGGTCTGTCACTTTGAGTCTTTAAGTACAATATTAAATGAAACGAAATTCTGCAGCTATGAAACATTAATTTCTCTCTTCTTTTTTATTCATTTTTAAAAGACTCATCCGCCCTTGTACGGAAACAAGGTATTAAATTCATTATGACAATTGATTGTTAGGCACCGACCATTTATCTTTTGCGGAGGGCATGGGTTTTTAAACAAACATAATTTAGATTGTAGATTTCTTGGAAACTTCTAGAAATCAGTTTGAAGTGAAAAACTTATTTGTTTCTATCGAAAATTAGTTTGAAAATAGCATCGATGTTAAAAATATCTTGTTCCTGTATGTATACTTAAGTTTGTTTTAATTAAATCTGATAAAATGATTGTTCCGTGAGAAAAATAATCATTCACCTCCCAAAAGACAAATGGTCGGTGCATTACAGTACTATGATTATCAATATTCAACCACCCAATTAAGCTATTACTTTGTTTCATCAGAAAGTGTTTGATCTTGACATGATATAGATATAAGAAGATAGATATGCGAAGATGTGGTATGAGTGTCAATGAGACAACTCTCCATCCAAGTCACAATTTGTAAAAGTAAACCATTATAGGTCAAAGTACGGCCTTCAACACGGACCCTTGGTTCACACCGAACAGCAAGCTATAAAGGGCCCCAAAAATGACTAGTTTAAAACTATTCAGACAGTAAACCAACGGTCTAATCTATATAAAAAACGAGAAACGAGAAACACAGACTTGTGAACCACATCAACAAACGACAACCACTGTACATCAGGTTCCTGACTTAGGACAGGTGCAAACAAATGCAGCGGGTTTACACGTTTTAATAGGCGCCAACCTTCACCCTACCTGAAACAATAGTGTAACATCACAACCTAGAAAGACACACTATAAAATATCAATTCAAATGGCTGAGCTCAATCAAAAGACAAGTGAATAACTATTCAATGCTCTGGAAGGTATTTAATTACCTTTAAAAGAAACCCTGAGTATCTAATTGAATTTGTCGCTCTACGTTGCGCCAATATACTATACATATAACTATAATAGTATAAAAGAGCAATAATCGTATTCTGGAAGATAATACGTTATTTTCCTCCTCATTGGGACCAACAGTCTATACCTGGCTTAGTTATGTCTTTTTGTTATGTTTAGAAACATGCTGAAAAATATGTTCGATTCAGTAATGTAATACATGTAAGATCTATTATAGTTTTCAGTACACTATACATTGCCAATTTATTTCGCCACCTTTTTTATAAACTATTATCAAAATGTGTAACAGTCTACCACAATAATCAGTTGTTGGACTCAGCTTCCTCGTGAAGAGAGGCTTGAAACCAAGAATTTGCTTTTTCCCTATTTGTTGATGTAAACAATATACATGTTTCTTTAAAGGTACATACTTCACATAACAGTTTTAGAACAAGCTCTATATTTTTTCAGTAAATTAAGTGAAAAGTGTCAAAATCTGACTGACATATTGTCGTCAAACGAGGGTTTCGGTAAACTTATCGAAGCATTTCAAAATTAAAATCAGTTAAGTTCAATGTTTTGGTTATTTCATCATCATTAGGAATTCGTTTTAATTTCTACGCTAGGTTAAGTCATTATAGAGATATGACTGATAACAAGTTATGTTTGCACTTTTGCGCATTTTTGAGATTCTGACTAAACAATTCATAAAGATCAATGATTAGATAACAAAGATATTTCTTGAACTGAAATTCTGTAATTTTGACTGGCAGACAACAATTAAGAGGTTTTCCAAAATCAAAATATGATTAACTTTCCAATAAGTTGCAACATCCGTATGACTGCACGTGCTCCCCATGACAACATTACAACAATAAATAGAAAAATAAAAGAATAGGTTGATTTAACTGGTAACTTTATGGTTATAGCATAAAAATGAATAAAATGCGTCTTATTACATGTAATTTTGTAGGGTTCTGAAGATTTGATAAAGCGTACATTTTAGGTATGAAGCGCATCCTCTTTTTTCGAATCTAGCTGTGTAAATGTTATTTCTATGTATATTTTGCAATTTGGATATGCAATGTTTGTTAATTGCTTTAAAATAATGCTTACTAGAACGGCGTGCCATATGAACACATTGCGCAAGTGAACGCTAGTACCTATTATATATTTACAAACATATATATGTTTGTAACTGTTAATCGTATATTTGCGCCTATGGTCATTCGATTTTAGCACTTTTTAAAAATACATCTGCTATTTACTTATATTACTTTTTGATAAATTTTAAAAACTGAATTAAGCTAATCATTTTTTACTATTAAAACAAAAAACGTTTATGACAAATATTTGCACTTCATATGTAAAATAACCTTTGAATATATATCAAATGTATGACCAGATGAACATGCATTCACATTAATGCTTTTTTATCACACATTACCACAAAGAAGGTTGTCTACATTTATAAGAAATACAGTTAAGTATCATATCGGTTGAACACAGATAAACAGTTTATTTTTGCAATAATACACAAATATTTTTGAGATTATGACTTTAAAGATGCAACACAACAAAAAATATCAAAATATAACATATGACAAACACTGTCAAGAGTCACGGCTTGAAACCTGCACATGGATATGTTGCGGGGTTATTAAACAAATATTAGAGAGAATTTAAATCTGGATCAGGGGAATAACAAATATTCATAAAAGAACATAAATAAAAGTTAATGCGAAAAAAGCACTTCACTCTAGAATAACGGAAAAGTAGATAAAAAACAAGTACAAACAAAACAACAGTAAACGATGTATTGTGGAATCGTTTTTGACATATTCATATGAATCATTCAGTGAATTGACATTATCTACATAGCGTATCGGGATGTAAAAGGCTAACTTTTAAAAGGTTAATGGACGCTTCTTTTCATTTTTTTCTTAAGACGCACCTGTATGAATATAAAAATAACAAAATATGGGATGATTACCAATGAGACAACTATCCACCAAAGATCAAAGGGCAAAGATGTAAACAACTACAACTCACTGTACTATCAGAAACACTGAGAAAAAACTCATACACTATAGTAAGCAAGAAAAGGCCACGACATGACAATATGTGAGATAATTCAAAAGAGAAAACCAAAGACATGATTTTTTTTCTAAACAACAAATGAAAGCTTTGGACAGGCAAATAAATTATATGGTGGGTTAAACATGTTTGTAAGCGCGGGTGTGACAGCACAACATAACAACAGACTGTAAAAACAGTTGGGGAACGGCTGTGTTTGCCTCTTAAGAAGAAAGAAACAAGTCGATAGGAAGTGGAGCAGAGTTCACTCGAATAATAATGCTGATTCTCTGTTTTAAAATACGTCCTCTTAACGTAAAAAAATATGTTGTCAGTAAACATGATCAATAAAACTGAGAATGGAAATAGTGAATGTGTCAAAGAGACCCGACCAAAGAGCAGAAAACAGCCGAAGGAAACCAATGGGTCTTTAACACAGCGAGAAAATCCCGTACCCGGAGGCGGGCTTCAGCTGGCCCCTAAACAAAAATGTGTACTAGTTCAATGAAAATGGACGTCACACTAAACTCCGAAACATATAAATGAACTAATATTAAAATACATACAAGACTAACAAAAGCCAGAGGATCCTGACTTGGGACCGGCGCAAAAATGCGGCGGGGTTAAACATGTTTTGTGAGATATCAACCCTCCCCCTATACCTTTAGCCAATGTAGAAGAAACAAACACACAGCAGTACGCACAGTAAAAATCAGTTTAAAAGAAGTCCGAGTCCAATGTCAGAATAGGTAACAAAAGAAACTAAGCAAAATGACAATGACACATAAATTAATAAAGGACTACTAGCAGTTACTGACATGCCAGCTCCAAACCTCAATTAAACTGATTGAACGATAATGTCTTCATCATACGAAAATCAAGCACAATCCCTCCCGTTAGGGGTTTAATATCATACCATCATAAAATATATGAGAAGAACATAACCAGTATCATGCCAAAAACTGGTTTTAGAATAAATGTGTTTATTTCCGATGCAAAGACCCTATGGATAAATCAATATTAATACCAAAATATGTCATCTTTAATGACCTCACAACAGTAAAGTAACTATATCCCTTCTAAATAAGTCTGTTTAAAGGTTTAATTAGCTTTTGAGGTGAATGTCGACATTTTTGTGCTTTGTATAGAATATTACCATAAAAGATTGGATGTGAAATACCTGAACGTATAAGATGTCTGCATGTTGATTTATATTTACGAATGATGTCCTTGTACCGATGATAAAATTTAGTAATTGTTTTGACTAGTTTGTGATATCGAAAACCCTGGTGTAATAATTTTTCAGTAATGCAGAGGTTTCTTTCGTTTAAATCAAATACGTTGTTACATAAACGAGCGAATCGAACAAGTTGAGATATATAACCACCGTAAGATGGTGACAAGGGAACGTCACCATCTAACAATGTATAACTAAAATAAGAAATGAAAAATCATCTCTTTGATCAAAAATTTTGGTACTAAGCTCTCCGTTAAAGATATAGATATCAATTTCCAGGAAAGGGCAGTGTTCATTGTTAGTATTAGATTATTTAAAGCCAGTTCAGCAAGATAAATCTCTCTAGTATACATACTGAAGTCGTCATTATTGAGAGCCAATATATCATCCAAATATCTAAAAGTGTTATTAAATGTTTGTATGAGATGTTGTTTCGATGGGTCTTTGCTGATTTTAGTAATAAAATGTAACTCATAAC